GCTCGGTGGGGAGGTGGTGGGGAGGTGCTTCGGCCGACTCGGTGGGGAGGTGCTTCGACCGGCTCGGTTGGGAGGTGTTTAATATTCTGCTTTCCACAAACACTTAGAAAGACAGAAGACGCCAAGAGCTAAAACAGTGATACAGAAAGCACCAGCCATACACTACCAAAGAAAACATAGAGTCAGAGACAGAAAGAGCGAAGTGAGATTCTTCATAGGGGTTGCTTCCTGACTTTTTGGCTGCACCTGCTTGTTATTATTATTTCTTGTCTGAATAAGAGGGGAGGAGACAATGTGGAGGGAGTGGTTGGCGAAGAAGAAGGCAATTATCATTGGTCTTTGCTGGTTTACATCTTCTTCCTCTTCTTTCTTCTTCTTCTTCTTTCCCTCTCTCTCCTCTCAAGTTCATTCATATCTTTTGCAATTGTAGCATAACCCCTTTCTTTTCTTTTCTTTTTTCCCTTAATTGTGTTCACGTTTGCTTTCTTTGGGGTACCCCTTTCATTTGTTCTAGCAGTTCCCCCTTTACCGTGCCTCTCATGTACAAGGCCCGCCATGTTGATTGTGGTTGAGCGTGAGCTGCCCACATCCCAGTGTGCCATAACGGGTCACTTGCACACTATGAAAGGAGGCAGAGCAAAGGAGGAGTTATATTCCTGTTCATTTGTTCTCAGATCTTCAACTTTGTCTGTTCTCTTAACGATGCTCATTCATACGTGTTACTAGTATTACACAAGAGGAGGGAGGGAGGAAATGGCTGGTGGAGTTTTGACAGGGTTCTAAATAGTGACCACCGGGGCAGATCGCTCTAGAATGGCACATGAGGCCAGTCAGTGTGTGGGTTGCCTAAGATTTGAGGAGCAATCATGGCCTGTGGTAAGTGCCTATGGTAAGTGGCCACCTCTACAGACCGGGCAGGACTGGTTTGGGTGTGGCCTGTGGAAGCACCACATCCAATTCTCGCAGTCGCAGTTACAGCATCGAATGGCACGGCGTAGACAGATGTCACAGGCTACATGGCTCCTACATGCTAGATACACAGAGGCATGTCGACCGCAATTGTAGAAGCATTGCGTGTGTGTTGTGTGTTTGTGTGTGTGTGTGTGTGTGTGTGTGTGTGTGTGTGTGTGTGTGTGTGTGTGACCGATTGACATTTGTCTCTCTCTTTCTATGTAACCTCTCTCTCTGTCTCTCTCTTTTTGTGACCTCTCCTCTCTCTCTCTGTCTCTCTCTTTTTGTGACCTCTCCTCTCTCTCTCTCGGTGGCAGTGTATCTCGTTCATACTTCTTCTCTCTCTCTCTCTCTCTCTCTNGTGTGTGTGTGTGTGTGTGTGTGTGTGTGTGTGTGTGTGTGTGTGTGTGTGTGTGTGTGTGTGAAAGGGTGTGTGTGTGTGTGTGTGTACCATTGAGAAAATGAAGGCGTTGATGACTAATGCCCTTCCTAGGAGGACAGCGAAAACATGTTTCCATTTCCCTATTTTGTTCATTGCATTAGTTAATAAGTTGTGGGCCATTTGTGGTGCTGATGCTTCCTCGGTGACTAAAATCCTCAGGTATCTGGAAGGGCTGTCAGCATTTGTCCCATTTGAATTTGCTTCCGACCCCTCTAGTTGAGGTGTTAGGTCCTCTAATAGCCACCAGCCTATAGTTTTAGACCGATTGACCTTCATTTGTAATGCTGGTACAAATGCTTCCACTGCTGTCACTACGGCCTTCAAGGATGAGTCTGATGCTTGTATTAGGACCGTTAGATCATACACAAACATGATGACTGTCGGGAAGATAAGATTATGGGGTGAGCCTAGCTCCTCTTCCGGGATTCTCTCGATGGAAGGGTCTTTCGCGGAAAGGAGGCTAATGCTTGAATAACAAACAATAAAATTGGTTGGGCTAAGGGGTCACCTTGTCAAACCAGCCAGGATATCTTGTAGTTTTCAGAAAGGAGTTTGATTACTAGAATGCACCGTGGCATCGTTGCATTCATTTCCTGAGTTTGGTCCCACAGTGACCCACACCCATTTTTTCCATGCTCGAATTCACCTTATCATGATGCTGGGCCTTGCTGGCAATAAATGATCAGCCAGGCACCTGAAGCGAAGATGAGTTATGAGTTCATAGAACGAAAGGCAGTTCCAAACTCATAGCAGACAAAACAATAGACAGAAATTAGAAATCTGATCATCTGCGATGCATCTTCCAAAGTTTTTCGCAGTAATCCTTCACAACCTTTTCCTGGCACCTCGTTTGTGAGAGTTGATAAGCCACATGCACGAGACAAACTTTAGCCTGGATCTATCTTAGATGATTTCTCACTCAATAGATACATTCAGAATTTTTCAGATACAAAGTTCCATAGCAGCTTGAAAACTGACAACATGTTATGGGTACTTATGCACTGCAACGAACAAACAACAACCAAAGGGTTGAATACAATCATTACAATGCAAGATGGGTCAGACAGGGACACAACAGGGATCATGAGATGGCAAATTACAGGGGGCATAGGAAAGAGGAGGGAGAGGGGGGGAAGAGAGGGAGAATAAACAGGGAGTAGAGCAGAAGAAGTTGACTGACCACAGAAGAATTGAATCATCCCGAGCACGATCAAGCTCCGAAAATATACATACTTATATGAGCACTCCTCATTCCAGCGAAGAACGCTAGAATCTGGCGATGGTAGCCCTACATGTCTCAGCCGTTTGGAAAATCGCCCTCATCAGGGGCTAGATTGCTGGTTTTTGTTCCCCTGGGATAAGTCATCTCTGTATTGAAATCTGCACACCCCTTTCGCCACCGACCTCTATCCACATCCTTGTTGGCCCACTGCGTCTTCGCTCCCACACCTCTGTGTACAGTTCAGCCACGAGACGGGTTGGGTAGCTCCCTTGTCCTCTTGCCCTGATTCATTCTATCTATCCTCTCTTCGCATCGATGAATGGTCATGGCGAGTCTGAGCAGGAGTGGATAAGTAGTGGTACACTTGCTTAAGGTTTCCACGGCAAGGTCTGGCATCTGGGTCATATGCAGCCAAATACGCCAGTCGTCGTCGCAAGCTTGCTTTTGTTGTCACAGCAGCAGGAGCAGCCATTTCCTGTTCTGAATCACCAAACAACACTCCTGACGGTGTGGATGACGGTAACATTCCAGAACGGCGAAACCACAAAAAAAGGAAAACCGACCACACAGAAAGACAAACAGATTCTGACAGCATATCAGAACAGAAATCCAAGTAGACCAGTCAAGAGAAGCCGTCAGTTACCTTCCACGAAAACCAAGCAGAGCAGTAGCTGAGGCCGGGTGAGGTCCCCGGTAGCCGAAGCTGGGTAAGGTCCCCGGTAGCCGAAGCCGGGTAATGGCCCCAGTGCAAGGAAAATGAGCAATAGCGAAATGACAGATTCCAGATTGCAAAAAAATCGCATTGAAAGCCAGAAAGTCTGACACTGTCCGGAAAGCAGAATTGCACCGATATTACACCAACGGAGAACCAAAGCACCGAATCCTAATGTCAATGAGAGCATACTCTCCCCACAGAAGACATGTGTATCCAGAGCCCTTCCTCCTACTTGGCGCTCAGTGCCCAGACTACAATCACACAGCTCCTACCAGCCTACGAATTGACAATGCAACTGTTGACGTCAGCAGCAGAACCGAAGTACATGAAGATGTTGACCCCTGTAGACATTCACCAGGACCAGGTATGTGCCCTCACGTCACACTCCTCATCTCTCTCTCTCTCTCTCTCTCTCTCTCTCTCTCTCTCTCTCTCTCTCTCTCTCTCTCTCTCTCTCTCTNTCTCTCTCTCTCTCTCTCTCTCTCTCTCTCTCTCTCTCTCTCTCTCTCTCTCTCTCTCTCTCTCTCTCTCTCTCTCGCCCTCGTCTTCTCTATCCACACCTTCTTCCTCATACATGAAGACCACCACCACCACCCGCTGACTGTCCAAGCCCAAAGCCCGGCTACGGTGGGCTGGGCTATGGCGCTCCCCTCAGCAGCGCCCTGTTTCCTGTCGACGCCCGCGCGTGCCCGTGCCTCGCCGCTAGTGCAGCAGCAGGCCGCGAGTCGATGCCCAGCAGAGCTGCCGTCCGCAAGTGCAAGTGCACGAATGTTTCCCCTGGCGCCCGGCCCTTTCCTATATGGAAAGTGGCGGGCGCTTTCCTTGCCACTCCCACGCGAGACCGAGTTTCCAGTAGCTTCAGTCTCGGCCAAAGTGTATGCGCCCAGGCCCGTTCAGACAGTGGCCTGGGACCAAATTGGTTAGGCATGCCCAGCCACCCAGGCACGCACGTGCGATGCCCCCCGCTTTGGCCACGTTGCTAGAACGGCCTGGAAGGCTCACGGATCTTTCCCATTCTCACGCGTAGGGTGGATGTAACCAACTGGCGCGTGGCAACTGTCTGGCGCCGACCAAGATTTGCAAAAATTGACGAGTTCAGGGCGCATACAGGTTCAAGCGGCCCGCATTCACTTAGGGCTGCATGCGCCTGTTGCAGGGCCATATGCCGAGGGCTCAAACCCTCGCATAATTTGGTATGGGACGCTGGGCCCGGTTCTCAGCACGTGCTGTTCCCCACGAACATATGGGAGTGAGTTAATAAAAAGAAACAAACAAGCCGACGAATCAAGAGAAGCCATCAGCTACCTTCCCTGTGGGGTTGAATGGCACAGAGTCCACAGACATGCGGTCAGTGCTGAGCCAGCCACCAGTTCGAAAAGGGGAAATGCCCGGGTAGCATTATGAACAGTCATATATGTGGGTACCGCACAGCCATGTGGCTGGGGGTCTGGATGAAATATTGTAAGGGGGTAACCCCCTTAAAAGAATGGAGAAGACATCCGTTCAAACTTCAAACACTTGGATATTTACTATCTTCAGTCAGAAACTTCATATCAAGGACACCAGCAGACATGACACTTCACTCAGACCTCACAGCAAGCATGTACCCCCCGCCCCCATGATTGCCATGCCTCCCTTTCCTTTCTCTCTCTGAATCTAATAACCGCCACGGCTCAATCCTGTACTTCTGGGATCTCTTGAACTGCCACTCAATTTCACGTCTTCTCCTGGGTTCCAGAAGGCCGCACATTTTTCGTGGTGGCCGCAAGATCAATCACCCTATTATAGCCATGGAAATTTGTGGCAGCCTTGGGCCTTGGCACCTTTTCTTTATCTTTTGTCTTGGTAGTGCTGTGGCGATTTGAAAGGGAAACGAAATAGGGGGAAAAGGGAGTAGGAAGCTGCAGCCTGACAAGACGCACTTCCGCCTTTTTATATTTTTCAAAAACTGGTGCCTCCACTCCCCTTGCTGCTGACAGATATGGCAGTGTAGGTTGACGGGTGTGTCTGATGCTGTTCATCGGCCTCGTCGCAGCAGCCCTTGGTGCCTTCTACATCGTCACCCCCCCCCCTCTCCTCCCGACTGCAGCCGCATCACCACAATACCTTTGGGGACAAGCCATAGCCAGGTCGACCCCCCTGCCACTATCCTTTGCTCACCAACCAAAACACACCCCCATACATTCATTCATTAGGTTACCGAAAGCTTCACTCGAATAGAACGCCCAGTCATTATAGCTGCATCTGGGGCAACTTTCAGTCCAAATGCAGCAATAATGACCAGGTGAAGACGGTAGTCTTCCAACTCATATGTCATGTTCAGAATGTGAGAAGTAACTTGACCAGGCACTGGGTTTCCATTGACTGCGTGTTCAGCTCATATGGTGCATAATTCTTTCGTCTTTTACTGAAGAAATATCGTGGTCTGGTCACGCAAAGCAGTTTATCTCAATTTTTCATGGCTCGCCGCTCCATCGGCAAGCCGAAAACATTTAAAAAAGGGAACTGGGTTTCCTACGGTGGTTGTGCAGAAAACGAACTTGCATGGCCCTCCTTTTGGCTGGCTCCACCAGCCATTTTGTTCCAGAGCCCGAGCCCCAGAAGTTGCAGCTGCATGCAAGCTGGCAAAAGTTCTGGCTGCATCTTTTATTCTTTGGCTGGGAAACATACTGGTGGTTTAAATTAAACAGCGAGGAAAAAAGGGTTTATTAGGGCTACCTGCCGGGCTGCCCGGGTCACCCTGTTTTCCCAGGCGGCCCCGCCGCGCAAGGACCAGGGAAGGTCCCAGCAAAAAAAATAACAATAAAAAATAAAGTAAAAATAAATCCCTCCAAAAGACTATGTTAATAATGCTATGCAGAAAAATAAACTGAACAAGTTTTGTATTTTCAGTAACTTCCAATATTGGTTGTTGACATCTGATTTGCAAACGAACCAAGTTCCCGGTGGGTCGATTCCTTCTGGGCCAATGATTGACTTCCAGTCATCCGGGATGGCATTGATGATGGCGTTACGTCTGTCCTCTAAATGATGCACTTGCCCCAATTTCAGTCTCAACTGGTCTACAGATAGCCACGTGCCTGTCAGACTGTCCCAGATGTCGGCTATTCTCAGTATCCCTTTCTCTATCCATGATCGGCCAAAGCTGCCAGAGGACGTGTCTGCCTTGAGCCATTCCCCTTGTGAAGAACGAATGTGTGGATTTTCAAACAGGGACTGTTCTAGGACCTCTGCTTTAGACGTAGGGGGCCTGCACACATCCGGGTGAAGTCTCTTCCAAGCATGAATTATTGCAGACCAAAAGGGAGATCTAATCATTCGGCGCTGGTACGAGGGGATAAAGATAACTGTCCAGACATCTTCATTTCTTGGCAGTCTCCATTCATGAGCAAGGATGTGCTCTGCTAAGAGAACCCAGTGAGGGACCGGGGATGTTAGACAGGCCTTAACTACCCATTTAATCAACATTGCATCATTCTGCCTTTTAGGATCGAGAATCCCCAGACCACCTTCATGTCTGGGGAGGCACAGCATCTCCCAGGCGACTTTGGATAGAAAGCTGGCGTCGTCATCAGCAAACGTTTCCACAGAAACTTTGCTGCCCGTCTCTTAATGATCACATTGAAATGAGGACCGACAGCTCGTACTGTTCCTACAAACCACAGGAGGGCGAACAAGGACCCGTTCAAGACTATCGCACGGCCAAAGAGAGAGAGATGCGGGGCTTTACCCCATGTAACCAATCTTTGAATGGCTTTTTGGAGCAGAATGTCTTCCTGGTTTTCTGAGCAGTCTATCAACGAGATTTGAACTCCGAGAAATCTTTCGTACTCTTCTTCCCGAATGCGTTTCATACCCCATTGGGCACTCGAATTGTATGCCGCTGGTAGAAAGAAGACGGATTTATGCCAGTTAATGGCTGCTTCCGAATGGTAAGAGTATTCGTCCAAGCAGATCTTCAGTGCCGACAGAGATGTCGCCGAGTTCTCTGAGACGACGAACAGGTCGTCTGCCAAGGCTTTAACCTTGTACTCTGGCGTCCCTACTGGCATTCCCCGAATTAGGGGGTTCGCTCGGATGTTATTTAATACTACCTCAAACTGGACTGCAAACAGAAGGGGTGCTAATGGACACCCCTGTCTCAAAGAACGTGAAAGACTGAAGTCTCTTGATAGCCGCCCATTGATCATGACAGACGCGGTGGACATCATGTACAGCGCCTTGACCCAGCAGATGAAATTGTCTCCAAAATCAAGCCACTTGAGCGTTGTGACTACGTACGACCAGTTGACTCTGTCGTATGCTTTATCGAGGTCGAGAAGCAACACTGCCATATTGCAGTTTTCGTTGTGAATGATTTCCAGAGTTTCGATCACTGTGACAATGTTGTCAAAGATCGATCGCCCTCGAATGAAAGCCGCCTGATCTGGAACGACGAGGTCTGGTAAGTATCTTCCCAAGAGCTTTGCTAGAATTTTAGCCAGCAGCTTATAGGACACGTTCAGGACAGAGATTGGGCGCCAATTTCTGATTTCGGATCTCTCCCCTTTTTGAAACAGTACTGAGATAATGCCCCTGCACATGTTAGTGGATAGTTGACCCCCTGTCAGAACCTGATTTTAAATCTCTATCAAACTGTCACCCATTGCGTCCCATATACATAAGAACAGTTCTGTGGGTAGACCATCACTCCCTGGAGCTTTTCCTTTGGCCATTGATGCCAAAGCTGCTCGAGCTTCCACTGTAGTAATGGGGCGGTCTAAGTCCAGTCTTCCTGCAGTTGAGA